GCTGCACCAACCGAAGCCAATGCTGAAGCCAGCTTCTTCATGCCTCTAAACCACGTCATGATCTGACCGCCGCGAAGCTTTTTCCAACCTTGCCCAACACGTGTAAAGAGAGCACGGCGAGGTAGTCTATGGGCAGGCATATGCAAAACATGACCGAGCCATCGGAAGCGGTGTAAAACGATCTCTTCCGTTAGAGAACGACTATCAGTACCCAGCACACGACGACGAATTTCGTCATTGTTCACCCGATGTTCCCACCAGACACGAGCAATGCTTCTAAGGCATCGGTGGTCGAATACAGAAAGCTGATTAACATCCTCCGCTCGGAGAGGCCAGCTCTCGCAGCCGTAAAGCAGAACACTACGGAGCGCGATGTACACCCTTCCCTTAAGGGACAGTCGGATGTCACGGCGGGGCCACAGGTGTCGCGGGTTGGCGAAAGCTGCTCTATCTTTCGCTATTCGTGATATTCGGGATATACATGAAGCCTGACTTATCTTCTCCCAGTAATCAGCCACTGTAAAGTTAGTACTTCATTGTGCACCTTGCATCTGCTATGAATTCGTGCCACACGTGTACATTAGCCTCATTCTGAGCTGGACACCGCTGAAAGTGGTTAAAGGACGATGCGCCGGGCAATGTCATCTGGATCGTCCCATTGTTGATGGAACAATGCCACCGTACACAATGCAATCGGCAGGGCAGGTATCACAACGAATGTTACCATGCATAAAATCTTTATCTTGTGTTCATTTCACAACTTCATCTAACTACATTGAATGTGAAACCGTGGACGATCGTGACTATAGAGGTCATAGTGAGTAGCTGCTCAAACAAAATCAACGAAAAAACTACTCAATCACCACAGTCACAGCCGTTGCAGTTTTATCCATCGAGCAAACCAAGGGAATTGTATGCATCTTTATTATTCCCCACTATATGAAACAATAAAAAATGAATCATAAAACTTTTATTGTTACAATAAGGATAGGTCAAGTCCTTTTATTGGTCAAATGGAGCTGAGGTAAGGAGCTTTCAGAGGGTAGGTCCAAAGTAGAAAACCAGAAAGAAAGTATCTCAACCGATAACAGTAACAACAACAACATCAAGAGAAAACAGCATGTGAACAATGACGAGCAATCAAACACGGATAGGGAGCGGTTTGGACTGACTACTTCTTTCTCTCTGACGCACATGCGCATACAAACCCCCTTCGGGTACCAAAAATTAACAAAAAACAAAGGGGAAAATGAAACGGTCACAACGAAACGGTTGAAAATTCACATCAACCACCACGTTCCTTTTCGTTCAGCAAACCAGGAATTCGCAAACAGTCTTTACCTAGGATTTTGTCGGGATGAATAAACCGAGGTATGATGGGGGCTTTATCTGTAAGTAAGGACAAGAAATAAACCAAAAACATGGTAAATGAGAACTGTTGTCCAAGGGATCTCGCAGAACACAAAGGGGATCACAGATTGGGTGGTTTAGTTCATTGGTCTATTTCTTGCCCTCCACCCCAACCCACTTCCATCTCCACCTAAAATGGGATAAACATAATCTATCCGCAATCTGGAAGAGATAGAGGGGAGCCATAACAGTGCAAGATGAAAGCGCGCATGGGGAAATGCAATTTTGGATGACGTAAAAGTGAACGATAATAAGAAAAATCGGCGTTGGGTTTGAAAGGGCACGTATGACCATACATGGGGGTCCATGTTTTTCGAGTAGGATGATGATGATGATGAAAAAGGTTCTTTGTACAAGGCAGTTATTGAGCTCTATGTAATTTTCACACGAAGCTTATTTCTATTCAACGTGAATGAACCAAACAGTATACGACCGCATGCGCACGCGACGAGGTTCACAGATGTGAGTATTGTCACCCCGAACGGATCCTCAGCTAACTGAATAAGTAAATTGGTCAGGGGAAGTGAACCAGAAATGCGAATTGCATTCAGATATGATATGAGATGTGCAAATTAGCAAAAATGGTCAAGGGAGCACAGTAAAATGAGGAACAGAAAGGAAAGTTGTGTGTGTAGAAGTGCCGAAAGAAGAAATCGTTGGCGAAAAACAAAGCAACAAGATCCAGCGCGAAAAAACACCGGTAATGATACACATTCGAGGATCAAGACAAGCAACTGAACGGTGGAATGAGTGGATGAATAGTGTGGTGGGTGAATTAGCTAGTGAATCAAATGAAACAGATTCGTATAAACTGAAATATTACTCTATATTTTCAGAAATTTCCGTTATCATCTTCCCTGTATCCCGCATTAGACATCAGCACTGCTGGTCGCAGGAGGCTGAACACCACGTCCATGAATCCGCGAGACAGGGGGTCCAGTGACATATTCATAATCTAAACTCGAATGAGTGGATGAAAATACATGGTCGCTTGGTATGCGCGAGGAAACACACTGGTGACGCGGGGCTCCAGGTGTTGTCGTGACTGTTGGTGCCATTGCGTTGGCGGCGGTAGATCGATGGGAGGTTGGAGGTTGCTGTAATCCAGTGGGCTCATCGCGATCAACTACCCGTTCTGCCACCGATCCACGATGATTGTAGGGATCCGTACGATATGGTTCAACGCCACCATCAGGACCGTCTGAAACTGAGGGGATTGGGGATCGTACAGATGATGACGGGGACATGGTAGGATGAGATGCGCTTGGTCCGATAGGACGAATGCGTGTCATTTTTGTTGGTGGGTTAGACATGGACTCGCTTAGCGCCAGAAGCCGCGAATCGGAAGTAGGGTTATCCTTGATACGCACCTGTAATAGAAATCGAAGATTTTCAATTAAGCAGAATAATATGATCTAAATTGTTCATGCACTGAACGGATTTGGATGCAAAAATGCTAGTACTCTTGTATGGTAACAAATCATTCCACATTGGATCCAAAATCAGATGACGCAATCAAGGTCAAGTCCCCGGTATAGAAAAGACAGTCGAAACTACAGGACCCCGTCCTCGGCCATTGCTCGGCATCTGCTGA